CGAACACTGGGTTGGGGGGGGGGAAGAGGGGTCGATGGGGTATTTTCCTCCTTACTCTCTGATGGCGCTGCCAATGCATGTCACACGTCCAACAGGCCAAAGTCTCCCATCGAATTTCGATGAACAAACTTCTTCCGCCGTCAGCAGACAGGCCGAGTCCCCGATCAGACAAGATTGATCGTCGGATCATCAGAAGGTGGAAAAACTTTATCTAATATATATAATGGTTAACATTATTTGCCAGAGTGGATATTTAAAGTGAATATCGTTAGTTTAAGCAACTCAGGCTTTTAGTCGTGGGTGTGAGATCAGTAAACAATTGTGGGTCTATTTTAGTAAACATTAACTTCAACCAAACATGATAGGCCTATTTATATATATATTTATTAATTAATTTATTAATCTATTAATATATATATTTATTCAAAATTGTTGGATTCAAAAGGCGAAATCGCTGTGAGAATGGTAAACATTATTTGCCAGAGTGGATATTTAAAGTGAATATCGTTAGTTTAAGCAACTCGGGCTTTTAGTCGTGGGTGTGAGATCAGTAAACAGTAGTGGGCCTATTTTAGTTATTGTAAACATTAACTTCAACCAAACATGATAGGCCTAGGCCTATTTGATAATTTATGAAACATGTGAATGTTCTATAAAATCAATAATTATTACGGTACGCATTATTCTAAGCATTAAACAAAACACAATTCGAGCAAATTAATCATCTTCACTGCACGGTAATAAGTAATTCGCTGTTTTTGTATATTTTTTCCACGATACCAAGCAAGTGTTTGAATAAAACTAAACAGACCTAGGCCTACTTTATTAAGATTCTTTGTTTATGTTGGCTATCGAATCAATTTTTCGTTCTTAGAACATCATTTGGAGTATCTAACTGAGCTACATTTCTCTATAATGGCTCAGTTCCATGATCTTGATGGCATGCCCAAATTATTATTCCTAAATCCGCACTTGAAAAAACTACTTAACCCTGAAACCATTGTTATCCTTTTCAGTCTGCTTGAATATTCTCTGTTTATGGCCTTCTTCCAAAGTTTTTTAATCCAACGTATAGGCCTAATTGAAATTCTTCTTGACAAAATAATTAAACCCTACAGTTTGTCATACTCCCTTCCTTCGGCATCGTTATTCGACTTGTAAATATTGTATTTTATGTTCTCTCGCTAAAATATACTCAATCACATGACCATCCCTTAACATTCATTTCCAATCCCACCTCGACGATCTTCGATCCTCTCCACCTCGTTACGTAATTCTCGAAATCTGGCTTTCCCTCCCTTCTGCTTGAACTCAGCACGCTTCATTTTTTTCCACCTTTGCTCTTTACCTTTAAAACAACCTCGCTCTCGATCCCCCACATCCTTTCCTGGCATTACCGCTCTTCTTATGAAGGTCCTATTATAATTAAGTTTGAAATTACCCCTTGACTGTATTTATTATTATAAATGTTTGGCGGATGAACACTTGATAGGCTGATAAGGCAATGAAATTGAATTGAAAAGAATTTTTATATCAACATACCTTCGCTCAACTGAGTGCATTGTATTTTATTATCATAATATAACGAGTGGACCACCTTGCTATCGAGAGCAAATTTCCCCTTGGCTGTATTTATTGTTATTATAAATGTTTGGCGGATAATAGCAGATGGCTGTGATGAAACAATGAAATTAAATTGAAAAGAATTTTTATATCACTATCCCTTCACTCAGCTGAGCGTGCATTGTATTTTATTATCATTATAACGAGTGGACCGCACTGCTATCGACAGGAAATTATCCCTTGACTGTATTTATTGTTATTACAAATGTATCATAAATGCATTGCATTTTAATATCATAATATAACGAGTGGACCACATTGCTATCGCGAGGATGACATCACTTCACACATAGCCCTATATAAATCGTGAGATAAGGACGTAAAGCGTGTTAAACTCAAAACCATATTGCAGTGATCCTTTATAATACCACAGATCCTAAATGAGGTCTGTGACGAACGATGTTGCAATACTTGATTGAAGTGTTATGCCATCGGCATTGTATATTGCTTTTATTTTCAAACTGTATACAAAATTTTAGTCATGTGAAAAATCCAGGTTGATCCGCCACCAGGACGTCTCTATGTTCTACCAAATCCACAAAGCAGTTACAGGCCTTCCTGAATAAATATGTGCATGATTATTTTGCTCGTCAATCGTATGTTCAGGATCATCCGCATGACACATTTATGGGGACAATTTGAGGCCAACTTCCGGTCCATAAATCCCAAGAAACCACATGTTTGGTTTCGTTATATTGATGATATCTTCACGATCTGGACTCATCATGTCATGGAAGATAGTTCGGAAACGCTCCTATTGAGCATTAATTCTGCTCATCCTACAATAAAATTCACTGTTAACAAATCCACTAGCAGTCAGTGCCGGATTAACCATTAGGCAAATAAGGCACACGCCTTGTGTTACACCGGCCAGGCGAAAATGATGGGCCATCAAAAGTTGGACTGCAATATTATTTACACTCTATTTTCCTGTATTATTAGGCCAGAAAACTCGGAGACATTCTAGAGAGCAAATAGACGGTGTAGACCAGTTACCACTGAGTGAGAAATCACGGTAGCTGGGTTTTTACATTTCGTAATTATTACCAATTAACATTTTTGGGCCATTTCCAAAATGTGCCTTGATGCCAGACGATGCTTAATCCGGCACTGCTAGCAGTGTAGACTTTTGGACATCGCCGTGACCATGGAAAATGGTGCACTTTATATACAGGTCTCTTCTGTAATCCAAAAGATAAACACTATGTACCTGATCCCTAGCAGCTGTTTCTCCCACTCTATACCAAAAACATTCCGTACAGCTAATAATTGCGCATGGGACGCATTTGTTCTTCAGATTTAGATTATCCGAATCGCACAGAACTATGTCCGTGCATCTCCGGAATAGAAATTATCACCGAGGACCCATCGAAACTGCTATAAAAAAGCAAAAGGCATACCTCATACTCAAACACAGACGTACAAACGATGTCAGCGATCGACCAGTGTCACTGGTCACTACCCTAGGTTACCACCACTAAGGGCTAATTCACAGTGGTGGCGCCAGAGGGGGGCTGGGGGCTATAGCCCCCCCCCCACCCGTCGGAGAAAACGATAAATTTTGTCGGTGAACAAACAAATAAAAAACAATATTTACATGTAATAATTCGTTTAGCCACCATATTGTTTGTGTTAACTTTTCATCACAACAACAACAATAACAATAATAATAATTCAATGAGACTAATTAAAAATAATTTGCGTTCTGTTATGACAAATGCTCATTTAGATAGCCTCATGATGGTTGGAATACATCGTGATAGGTGAAGCGACCATGACAGCGTGGTTGACAGATTTCATGCAAAATTTCCAAAATATAGAATTTCACTTTCAAGAATGGGGATTTGAAAATAAATTAGATGGTTACATTGCATACTCTTTGTTTCTTGCTTTATTCAAAATGTTTTGGTTTTGGAAGCTGATTTCGTAGCCTACATGAAGTCATATTATAGCTCGATGCCTATCAAATAAGTAATAAAAATTCGCCATAATTCATCAAATATCCGTGACTTCCAGGGGACGAAGCCCCCTGTACCCCCACCGGGGGGCCCTAGGCGGCCCCGGCCCCCAGTCAAATGAGACTCGATTCGCTACACTAGCCCCCCTGTCGGGGTCTTTAACCCCTCCGTCGGCCAGGTCCTTCTCCACCACTGCTAATTCAGCAACATATTCCCATCAATCAGAAAGTCTCAGGTCGGTTTTTTTGGATACTCCGTTCATACTAGCCTATTGCAGACCACTTAACCTGATATACATTACAATTTGGTATTACACCATTAAGTGGAAATACTGAAGTAGTTGCTGAATGAAAGGATGATTTGATTAAAACCAATCCTCTTGACTAAATGTTATAATTAAATGTTGTCATGGTGGTGAAAATTTTATAATAAATGATGTGAAAAAATATTGCATAATTTTTGTTCCAATGAATATTGTTTGTGCTCCGAATATCAATTAGATCAGGGAGTTGTTATAGTGACTGATTAGATAAAAAAAAAAATCCACCACTGACTCTTTCAAATCACATACAGTAACAGTACGGCTTGCAGCAAGAAAATTCTAGACATGTATTCATAAAAGAAAGCACACACAAGAGATTACATGTTCTGGTATTAATTTAATAAAACTTGAAAAAACATTCAGATACAGAGTATTTTATTCTCATATATTACTGTATATCACGAAATTCCCATTCCATGTGGCGTGTTCAGCTAATAGTAAACTGTAATACTGCCTACCACATATAAGCACAAAGTTCCTTGAAAACAAAAAAAAAATAATTTAGCAGGTACAGTTATGTAGTATAAAAGTTCAGACCCATCAACCCATATGCATTCGCCGTAAGTCTTAAGAATTCCAATCAAATCTTACGCAAACACTGGCAAAACTTAAGCTTATCCTAAAATTTGAGTAATTTTTTTTTCTTTTGCAATTTGTTATGAACTTTCATAAGAAGGGAAGATGCCTTTTATTATCTTAAACTAACTTTCAGTAACTAATGTATCTGAGATCATTATAAACTTACTAATATCGATTAGATATGCCATTTAAGCCAAAGCGACCGAAAGCCCTTGGCAGCCCCCGAGCCACAGTTCGTGCCTTCGACACTCATCATTATGTGTCACCTGATTTGACAGGTATGAAAGTAGTAAGTTTTTGATGGTATGAAACAGCTGAAGTATTGAGGTATGCACAGCATACATCCTTCAACTTAAAATTACAAAATTATGACTAATACTAAAATATTTTGTGAAATTTTACATACTGTACTTCTTTCAAATCTACTTGTTCAGTATTTTGCTCTCCATATAATGTTATAGATTTCATCAGATCAGAAGCTGTCAATGGAAAGTTGATGTTGCTGGTAGCCCCTCTACTTAACTTGTCCAGGTCATTTTTCTTTCAATTATTTTTATTCTCAATATCTTTATCTCATTGCTGATTTGAAGGCAATGAATTTGCCTGTCAAGGAAGATTACACCAAATCCTCCTTTTTGAATATCTTGTAATAGTCCTTAAGATCTCCACTCTTCTTTAAACAATCTTTTTTTTTTTTCCTTTCTTCCTTTAGTATACCTACAACTTTCTTTATAAAGATCAAGTTTCTGACTATAGAAGTTTGTTCACTGGGTAACCTTATGAAGTTTGTGGTTCACATTTAACAATTAATGGATGCCGTCGTATTTGACGTTTGTCCTTTAAGTTGTTGAATTTTATTTGTTCTTCCCAGAATAACCGTTGAAATGATTCAGGATCTGGTAAAACTTCTTGAAGAGTTGAAGACTCCTCATGGACAAGTCCTGAAATATCCCAATTAGTGTCTTCTATCATTTCATTGTTCTTATTTTTCCTATCAATCTCATGCCGTAGTCGCCTGTTCTTGCCTTCAACACTTTCACATTGTTTCTTTAGCATTTTAGCCTTTTCTATTAGGTATTCTTTGGTCATGGCAGAATTAGGCCTGTTGGAAGTTAATGAAACTTCGCATGGTTTTCTTTTTCTATTTGCTCTTTGCAATGTGCCTCTGAATTTCGAACAATAGGAGCATCTGTTTGTACGATCTGTCAGAAGTGTGCACTGATTAACTCTAATAGTCTGCGAGTATACTGCCCCATGATCATGTTCAACATAAGCATTACGTTGTGGCATATCATACGGTATGTCAGAATTACCTATGCAAACGACAAATTTTTCAAATTTCTTTAGAAACATCACTAAATCATTAAATATGTAAATTGTTTTTGTTCTTTCAAATATGAGATGATTTTCTGATAAATGTTTGTTATGAACAGAAACAAAAATATTAAATTCTTTGTCAACAATAATAGCCATCTTTGTGGAAAAAAACCGTTTCTCATAAAACTGAATGAGTGTGAGGTTGCTTGTTGTCTTCATTACTTCAAAACCAATGCTACTGAGTAGTTTCTCATTCTTTTCACAATCCAATCGCAATTGCTGATATGTCTCATGATCAATATAATCTTCGGATTCGAGTTTTATCATTGCAGAGCCAAGCACTAACCAGTACTCATCAGTATCATTATTTTCCTGTGGAAAATCAAGAGAAATTTCTTTAGATTGGAACATATTTAAACTAGAGCAGTCACTCCATAGAGTGCATACCATGTGCCTGAATACAGTATCAACAGTACGCTGGTCAAGTATGATGGGTGAAACTGCAGCATACCCTCAATGAAATAGCCCATCGTATTCAGGCACATTATTTTCTTGAGTGCTGCAGCCTACTTCTAGAAAAAAAATAATGGAATTGCCCGCCGTAATCAGGCACATTGTTTCTAAAGTGCTGCCTCAATACTAGGGGCGATTCCATTATTTTCTTTTACGCTCGAGGGCAGAAAACAAACTTCTGTGACCTTGATATTGTCCTTTAAACCTTTCTTCTGAAAACTGAAAGGTGGTCTTTGATTATTAATGTACCATGAACAACCAAATTTATGATGATCCATTCTTTAGATTTTGTGTGAACTTGCAGACAATCTTTTGTGCAATCTTGTAATTCAACAGTGAATACACAATCTCCTTCGTGGAGTTAAATAAGAAATAATCAAGTAAATAGACTGTGATAAATTATTTTAAGCCCAACATATTACTACTGCTCATAAGAATGTGTCAATACCGCCCTTAATGCACTACAAAAAATACTCAATGTTATCAAAGAGTAAAAAATTGCTTATTTTGTATGAACACAATGCAACAAAATGCAAAGTACTAACACAAGAAGGGACGTTCATTAAAATTTAAATACTGTAGAGTGCAGTGCACACATTCGATACGACCTTTACAGTACGTTCTTATGAAGGATACCGTCTATTTCGTGGTATGAATTTTCAAGATACAGTAGGATTGCGCTTAAATGAAACCCTGAGAGTCGGACCTCTTACAGTTCTATACCCATTGATAATATTATTCAAATCAGTTTTATTATATTGATATACAGAGTAAAATTTTAGATCTTAAACATTTAATCTGAACCAAAAATACAATATTGATATTCTTGATACTCTATCTTTCAAAACAAATTAGAATATTAAATACAGGCTGATTCACACCTACCGTATTACACAATGATCATCATCACGTACATGATGAACGACACAATTACAGTTTTCAAAGTTTCCAATATAGTCACAGATGGCAACCTCATTACATGCTGATGTTGGCATCAAAACACTTGCATAGTGCTCCATCCAGGGCTCCAACTTAATGTTTGTATCATGTGATGGCTCACAGAGCTGTCTTCTTTGACTAGGCAGGCCATTTCTGCAATATTTGAACTTTCTGCCAATGAGTTTTCTTTTTCTTTTTTGTTTTCCCATGCTTCATGAAAAACAGTAGAAAATATTTTGCCTCAGATAATTCTCTTCTGTGTTGTAAGAGCCATCTATTTAAAAAAAATCGTGGAAGCGATTTGGTGCAGTGATTTTCAAAAATTCGGGTCGGGGTTTTAATCCTTAGCTGTGCATTTGGCTTGTGTTCTACAATGCTTCAAGCTGTATCAGCGGGTACCAGTAAATGGCTGGAAGTAAACTGCGGTGGACTAGAGTCCCACCCAGGGGGAACAGCACACCTGCTTCACGCTACCTGAAACTGGAGATAAGCTCCAGCTCTACAGTATGAGCTCTAGCAACATTTCATAACACTACTAATGGCAACGGTTGGGTTGATTTCAATCAAACTTGGTCAGTATAACTGTTCAGCACTTGGGACTAAAGGTCACACAGGGGTCATTAGGGTCAAAACCCAAAAATCATCTTAAAGACTACTTCTGTCACAAATAACATAGCGCAGTCTTTTATTTTGCACATACTGTATGCATTGGCATAAGTCAGTCAATTTAAAACATCAGAGTTTTTAGGAATTCCCATACACCCTAGCGTCCCTGATTGACGCCTCACATCAAAGGGCCGGGCCCGGCAATACATTCTTCATCTAGCTATGCTGGTGACTGACAGTGAAAAGTACTTATTTGACTGCTGTACACTACGTCTCAATATACAAAAAATGTATTACAAAACACTTACAATTCTGTGCACCTAAACTTCTAGAGATTTTTGCAAATTTGAATTAGTTTTAATGTACTGTATCCCCTGCAAAATATTTAATTGAAGTGGCAAGTTAGTGTTAGAATTGATTAGGATCTGCATAAAACAGGTCAAACGTAGGCTATACTCTGGTCGCCCAAATAATAATCACGTGGTAAAACACAGTCCTGGCTGGATCTACTGTATTGTTACAGCAGTGCGCAAACATCTAAAAAGAACTATGGTACAGCAGTTGATCGTGGGAATCAACCTCACCTTGCCAAATAACACTTGCAAGCAAACGATAGAACGATATCAATAGCGTACACAGTGGTTGGCTCCAGAAATTTGCTAACAATGAGTTTGACATGTCCAAGGGAGGGGTCTGAACCAAGGGCCCGACTAGAGCCTTGGTCGGGGTCCCGAAATAAAAAAATCCCTGATTTATTTTTGTTTTGATTGTGGGAATCAATCATGCCTGGCGATTTTCTACTTACTTTCAGTTGTTGTCTTGACAATGGATTTTAAACATGCAATAAGAAAACTATCAAATTGAAATAGCACTCACACACATTGAATGATATCGTACAGTTCCCACCCACTAATTTTAATTGGCTACCCTCGGGTAAAATGTTAAAATCACACTGTAGAACAAATAGATCTCAATTAATTTGTATCACATACCAATTCTTAATCAAAATATCAAATAAGTTTTCGGGTCTAATTATAATTATATTGAAATTGTTGTATTAATCCTGCACTTTGTTTTGCGATGTGATGTACCAACTGATTTTCCAAAAGAACACAAATAAAGAATCTTGAATCTTATGTCAAGTTTAATTGATTTATCCAAAATATTCATGAAACAGACAGAAGTGTCTATTCGCCCGTATATACTGTACTCGCATAAGGCTTGAAATGGGATCGAAAAATAGGGGGAATTCCAACCATTATATAGGGGTCGTCTCACGCCGACATACAAAAATCGGCCAAAATCTTCTCAAACTTGGAGATCTTATATGCGGGTCGAGTTATACACAAGTATATATACAATAGTACTGCAATCCAGTTACACATACTGTAACACTGCCGCATCACACCGTCCAGCAAAGATAGTCTTATTCCAGCCTTTTTAGCTCATAAAAAAAAATTACATATTTTTCGATAGTCAAAAAAAAAAAAAACAAAAAAAAAACCAATTAAAATGCCGAGTGTCAATTTCATACATTTTGGGTCAGTCGAATGTGACGCCTGTTTATAAAATTACAACTTACTATTTATTAATATTAATTATATTAATTTTATAATTATTAATAATTAATATTGTAACAACTCATTTTGTGCTTAAAAAATATACCTACCTGTAGGGCCTACACAACGCGTGGGCACGGCAGAATAACCCAAACAAACAATAGCTGGTGTGCAGGCTTACTCTGTAGTAGTAGGCTTAGGCTAGTCTAGTACTGTAGGCCTAGCCTACTGGCAGGTATTTCACACTGCAATTGTTATTTTACCTTTCAAGGCAATTGCCAAAGTAAAAGTTGAAATAAAGTCCTTCACCAACAACAAATACTGTATGTCTTGTGTAGTCTAATAATTACGCCCAGACGTATGAGATTCAAAAAAGACTTGAATTTCCTGTGTTCTTCCATCTACTGATGACTGTGGCTAGCCTTTATTATGCAAACATTGTCAACAAAACGCTCGCCGGGCGAGTGGTGTTGCTCTCATGCTCAATTTGTTGCTCCATGATTTTAAGTTCGGAACCACTGAACCATGTAAATGTAAATAAATACAATGGTCTCACTCTGAGACGTTTGTACCATATTTTATTTTGTATTATTTTTAATTGATCTTCAAGTAAAGTTAGGACCCGGGTAGGGCTAACTTCAGCAAACTGAAGGCCGCATTTTGCCCATTTCAGCTTTTCTTGTGCTTATTATACCAAGTGTAATAATAAGTTTGGACAACATTTTGCACAACACTGAATATCTGCATTATAGGGCCATTGTATTACAACAATTCAATAAGGCCCATCCCAAAATAGGCCATTGTCTCCAAAGAAAATCGGTTTGTTTTGACTAACGTACTTTATATCTTGTGTAGGATTATTGGAATTCTTATTAATTTGTTAATTAATGTTTATTGTTTCACTCTGTTCTGACGTAGGCCTATTTTTTTTTTTGTATAAGGATGCATCATCAAACTGATGTGTGCCGCTGATTCCAAATAAAAAATCTAAATCTAATCTAAATAGTCCAATTCCATACAATACACATTTAATTAAAAAAACAAACAAACAAACAAAACAAAACAAAAACAAAACAAAAAACAACGAAAACATTCCGACACCCCTGTTCTTACTTTGTTAGCTACCCCATCATAGTCCGCTTAAGAATAATTTGTGCATGCAGGTGTGCATTAGTTTGCGCTTGGTTTGCGTAATCTCTAATTATAATGACAATCACGGTACCGGGCCTACTTGTACGATCTTGGTAGGTTAGCATACGTGTTTAATGTCTCCTTGAATGGTAATGGGACTGCTATCTGAAGGGACTCCACTTACGTGGGAAGAAACTAAAAAATATGCGGATCATGTGCGATATCATGGAGTACAACAGTTTATCAACTTACATAAGCGACTAAAAGATCGCAAAGGTGATGTCCTCAAATGGGGCGATGAGGTAAATTTATTTTCATTAATTTTTAAAAAAGTCAATATAGTAAGTTTAGTATGAGCATTTGGAAAATAACTACTGGTAGGCCACATACTGCAGGTTTTTGAGAATAAACAAAATACCAAGAAGGGCATACCGGAGAGGACCGCCTGTGTTTTGTGACGTCACTTTATTTATTTCGTCAAATAATAAGATACAAACAGCTGGCAAAATACAACCCCAAAAATAAGGCATTTCAAGTGGCTCTCCATTAGGCCTATAGCATCATAATCAGGTTTGTACTTATTTTATATTATCAAGACATACGTGGAACCTACACACATTTATATATATATATATATACATATATATATATATGAAGAAGGCGTGTCCACGTGTGTTTCGAAACATATGTAGAATATAACGTAACAGTAAAGAAACTCAAATACGTAAGATGTTGACTTTAGAAACACTAAAA